TAAGGGGTTTCTTCTGTGGGTGCCGTGGGGGCAGAGGTGAAGGATTCTTGGCTGTGTGTGTGCAGGGGAGCGGAAAGGGCGGATTGTTTCGGTCAGGGTCTTTTTGGGAAGGGCCCCGTCAGAGTTGTCGCTCGGAATCGCTGCCTCCCCAGGCTTCCCCCATCTCTTCAGTGGGCTGAGTCACTGTCCCGTCGGGTACTAAACCGGCTTGGTTCAGAGGGGCCCGTGCTCCCAGCTTAAAGCCTGTAAACATCACGTCAGAGCTTGTTTCCGTATCTCTGAAATACGTGTTTCTTGACATGAGGTGCATTCAGAGTGCAGGAAGAAGAAAGATTTGGAAGAACAGCCTCTCCTGTTGAATGGTGACCAAAAGATACAATGTGTCATTAAAAAAGAACTCCACCTTTAAAAAATGCTGCAGTGTAGCACATAGGGCAAAGTAATCTTCATTGAGATCCTTCAATATCTTTAAAAGTGCTTGCAAAAATACAAGGGCAAGTAACTTTTTGGTGAGTGGGTAGATAACTCATTTTGTTGCTGTTAACTCTCTTGGTAATTTTCTTTGAGGGGGGGACTAGCATCTTTCCAAGTTTTTATCATTCCTTTATGTCTCACAGGAAGCAGTGCTTTTTCCAAATCATTCAAATTTGGCAGCTCCACTTTAATGTGCTTTTGAAGTTTTGTTTTGGTGCTGGTTTTTAGGGAGAGTGTTGAAAATGGACCATTTTTTGATCAAACCTTTTTTTTTTTTTCCATTTCTGTGTAATCTGATCAATGCTCGCAAGGCTTAATACCCACATCATCATCATCATCCGTATTTGGGAACAGCAAGTATGCTGCCAGACCAACTCATGCTGCGCCCACTAAGGAGTGCGGAATACTTGTTTAGTTCTTCCTTCTATGCTTTTGGACAGATCAGAGGAGGGCTTAGCCATGCCTCTTGCTTGTTCCTGAAAGAAGTGGGAGATTTCTTTAAAATTTGGGATTAATTTTAAGGCTGTTTAAATTCTTTACCTGTTGGTGTTGAAGGGTTTTAAGCAACATTTCTTGTGAAATTCACATTTTTATTGCTTGGAATATACTAAAAAAATTGTTCTGATATAAACTCTTTCCAAAGACTTTCACAGGGACAGCATTGTCAACATTTTAGCTTTTTAAACAGTACACCTGCTAAAACTTTAATGATTTAAAAATGTGTTCAGTACAGTATTTGTACTAATTTACATATTTCGGAAATCGTATTGTTACATGACATTCACTTTCTTTAAGTGATTATTTTGTATTTTTGTTAACAGTAGTCAGGATCAAGATGCTGAGTTGTTTTTAGTGGTAGTGTATTCTTATACAATAAAATTTCTCAATTATGTACTGATGTCTGGCAGATAGTGTGTGGATTTTTTTCACTAATTCATGAAAATAATGAAGAAATCACAGAAATAGGATAAAAATGACCAGTTTATATTCTCTCAGGGCATAATACTTGCCAAATAACTACATATGCTCTCCACTCTGACCTGGTTGCATTAAAGCAAAATGTATTCTCATCTTGAGATCTTTGGCAGATAGTATTTAAATATACTAGATCTGTTCTTTTTAGATGTATTTCTTCGGCTGTGTCTGACCTTAAAAGTTTTTTCTTGTTTTGGCAAGTGGTACTTTGTATTTCACATAGCCTATTTATGTTGACGGAGGAGTGCAAAAGTTCACTGTGTTGATACGCTAGCACAGTTGTGCTTTCATTGGTGTACCTTGGCTTATTCACTAGTATGATACTCGTGTATTTTAAGTGTGTTCTTATTTTGTTCATACTTCGAGCACTTGCCTTGTGTGTTATACCTGTATTCTTGAGTTGGTAATACTCTCAGTGTATCTGTGGCCTTAGGAGAGGTCAGTGCTACATGGTTGTGCCCTTGACAGAGATGGTTCTACCATACCTAAGTATTTACATCACCTTATAGATGTGCAGTTTTCCTGCCTCCCCCATGTGTCCTTTCCCAGTTTTTTTAGTTTGGTTTTTTTAAATTTAGTTTAATTGTACTGAGAGAAAAAAACTAAAGGCCTGCTAGTATAAGCTGCATTTCCAGTTTCCTCCAAGGACCCTTTCTGTATCCATAAAGTTTTGCAACAGGTGAGTCCATAGTCTAGAGCTGAAGAGCTTTGCAGGCATGGATGCATTGGTATGCTGCTTGGGCATTCATTGTACTCTGGCTGTATTTTCAGGGTTTTGCTGGTATACTTCCACATTGGTTCCAGAAAAGTTGTATCTGCATAACTGCAGTTATGTTTTATAATATGGCTTTATAATGGTCAATGATCATGCCTTTTCATGCTACATTAGGCTTGTGATAAGTGTAATGGCTGGTGCTTTTTAGTGTAGATGTAGCAGTGAGAGCGTGAAAGTGTGTCATCCCTGGCTAAGTAATAGGTATAGTCTAAGAGACTCGTAAGAGCCTCTTTGATAATGTAGTTCATTCTGTTCAGAGAGTTGGCATAATTTCTTTTAGTAGTTCTGCTGGAATAAGCTGCATCTGTGCTTGAAAGGTTTTTTTATAGTGATATACCCAGCATAGACATGGGGATTGTCTACAAAAACAAGCGTGTTTTGCTTTCTTACAGTAGAGGAAAAGCAGCAAGATTAATAAACTGTTTGAACATTCATTGTGACCTCCAGCTGGTTTAGTTTGAAAGTTGGAGTAAGCAGTATCGGTAAAGCCCTTGTTGCACCAACATAAATGCATAAACACCGACCTGAACTGATGTTTTTTCAAGATCATCGCATAGTTAAATGAATAAG